GGGGGGGGGGGGGCGCCGAGCTGTCGGCCGGGGGCCGGAGACGGGCGCGAGCGCCCTTGCGCCGCGAGAATTTGGCCGACGTTGCCCCGGTCCCCGGCGTTTGGCGAGGCCTTGCCCCCTTTTTCCGGCGACACAGGGGACCGCAGGCAGGGCCGAAGGGCCGTGCACCGGGGCCTGTGTGCGAGGCCGTGCGCGCGGCTGCTTGCGAGCGAGGGCGCCCGGCAAGGGCAAGACAAACGCCCCGCCACCGCTCCCAAGGCGCTGGGGCCCGCCCGGCGGGAGGGCCAAAACGATCTGACAGGACCTGGCCAGGCGCATGCCCCGCGCCGGCGACAAAGGGAAAGAGGCCCCTGCATGTTGCCCCGCCCCCGCCCCCCCGCCACCCCGGCCCCTTGCCAGGTTAACTGGCGCCCGTCCTCCCTGGGCACGCACACGTCCAAGAGGGCGGTGCGAGGCCCGGCCGACACGCGGGAGGGCCCCATGTGCCTGCCGGTGTGCCGGTGTGAATGGGCGAAAAAAAATAATGAAATAATACATGCGCCTGCGTGTGTGCTTGTCTGTGTGTGTGTGTGTGTGTGTGGGCCAGAGGGCGGCAGCGCCGGCGACGGGCGACTGGCCCCTCGCCGGCGGTGCGGTGCGGCCCATGCCGCCCTCCAGCCGTGGGCTCCCTCGCGGCCCGGCCTCGGCCTCGGCCCCGGCCCGGTCCCACCACAGGGGAGGGCCAAGGGGAAATGTCACCCTTTTGTGGGGCCCATCGCGAGGGATATTTAAAATGCGCCTCCCGCGGTCTGGGCGCCCCGTCCCAGGGTGACAGCTTGTGGCGGGCCCTGGGCGGCACGCCACCGGCGCCCGACCCGCCTCCCCGGGCCTTCCCTTGCGCTGGTTTTTTTTTTCCCTCCAGGCCGCCGGGCCATTTTCCTCGCCCCCCCCCCCCCCCCCCCCCCCCCCCCCCCCCACCCCCCACCCGACCCGCCCCCCCCCCCCCCCCCCCCGGCCGACCGCCCCCCCCACCAATTCGGGTGTCATTTTTCCGGTCCCCCCCCCCCCGCCCCCCTGGGGGCGACGAGCCTGGCCGAGGCGCGCTGGGCCCGGGCCCGGCCCCGAGAGGCCGGCCCCGGACGGAGGCCGAGCGCAGGGGGGGCCGGTGGTGCGGCGGTGCTCCGGCAGGGGGAGGGTGTGGGGAATCCGGACGCCGCAAGGGCGGGCGCCCCCTTGCACAAAGCGCGCCCCTGGGGCCGGCGCACACCGCGAGCGCTTTGCCTCCGGCCAAGGGGGCGGCCGCCCCTACAGGGAAGGTGTGTGATGGCCGGCAGCGCGACCGACACCCGGCCCCCCTCCCTGCACGGCGACCCTCTGATGTGCGCGCGCACAGGCGCCGGAGAATGCCCGGGTCCCCGGCTGCCCGGCCCGCCAGGAGCCGACAGCCGCTCCGGAATCCACGGCGGCCGGCTCGATTGAGGGGCACCTGCAGCCGGGTGCACACCGAAGAGGAAGGACGCCCGTGTGTGCGCCGGTACGAGGGGCAGGGTGGAGTCGACAGATGTGGCGGCGCCCGGCAGCCCCCTCAGACTGACAGCAGCGCTGACACCGGCCGGTGGAGTGTGGCAACCGGGGCGGGCTTGCTCGGGGGGG